ATCCCGTTAAGTCTCGTGCACCACGGTTACTGTTGCTGCTAACGTTTTGTGGCCTTTCAGGACGTCAGAACCAGAAAGTTAAAAAGAAAGTTAAAGGGCCTACCCGCGTCAAGTGACGCATAAGGCGGTGCCCATCTCCGTTTTCATTAGCCGTGGGCCACGCAACAGTGAAATCACTTTAGCAGGGGGCTTGTCCACCGGTACTTTTGTGTGTTTAACCCCCACACTCTTTCCCTAATGCACAAAAAGTAGGATGTAACATAATTTTTTAAAAGTCTTGACTCGGCCATGGGTCAAACTACGGACTTCCGGAAAGTGATTAGTGATGGCATCACACACCTGATGAAGGTTGACGGGATCAGCCGAAAATTTATGGTGAGTTCCCCCTTGTGTTGGAACAAGTCAAACTCTATAACTAAATTGTTGTGACAGTTGTAAGTTAATGATGTCATGCAAATTAGCTGCCTCCAAATTGTTACAAATTGCAGGACCTTCAGGGTTTTTTCACGGTTTTAAACCTTGGGAGGATAACTTAAGATTACAGTGATATGTAGGTTGTTTATGTTATGTATGGTATACATGATATGACAATAATGCAAATCAGGATCTAATTTAAACCTGCTGCTGCGTTCCGTGATAGGACTAATCAAACTTATGTGTAATTGAGGTCCAGAGGAACATCGACAGTCATTTGATACTTTAACAATGACATGGTAATACCCAGGATATAACCCCACCCACAGTAATCTTTGTCCCCCTGCAATTGCATAGCTTGAGTCGGACGGGCCTTGTGTACGCCCCACGTCCAGACTCATTATGGATCCACATTCCAGCACCAAGGACATCGCCAGTTATTCCTACTCACAGCCATATAAATGTGTTGCTTCGACGTTACGATGTTTTATAGTGGATTAACCCTAAACAGTACACCTGGGGTCCGCGCGGACCCCAGCACTATATATTCTGTAATATCTTTTTTGTATCTACAGATTTTTTTCTGAAATTTTAGGTAATTGTCACCCACAACGTTGTCTCTCAATACAGTGCAGAAAACTCCGTTTCTACCATTTATAAAAAAAAATTATATATGATTTTCTTTTGGGGTCCGCGCGGACCCCAGCCGGCTTTCGATCATAATGGATACACTGGCGTTCTTATACATTACCTTATTTCCGTTTTTATATGTTTTTATGCACTCATGGTATGTCTACCAAGTTTTCAGAGAATGGTGTAGTAATAGAATTAAATTTTAATAACTTTGGTGTAATTATGACGTCATATGATGTCAGAGCTAATAATATAGTCCGCCATATTGGATTTTGACCAATGACGTCATCAAATTAGCATATTCTATGCATATTAAATGATTTAACTGATATCTAATTATGTAAGATGTTATTAATGTTGAAAAAGAAGTGTAATTTAATATAAAACTCAGAAAATTTTTATGTTTAAACCAAAATTACTTCTATTTTCAAAAAAAGAAACCCGTTGCCATGGCAACACAAAAAATCATCAACTTACTAGTAATAAACTAATATGAACTTTTTTCCAGAGACATTTAAGGAAAGGTCTCCAAATTTGATACTTCTAGCGCAAGCCGTTTAGCCGCTATCTGCGATCAAAGTTGGGCCTCAAAAGCCCCTTCAGTCTGAAATGGGATTAAAAATCGGGTATTTCGTCTTCTTGTCTTCACCAAAAAAATAGAAAAAGTTCAAAACGTATGATTTTTGTATGTAATGTGGACACAGAGGTTCCCACATCAGTTTGCAAAACAATTGAGCTGGTTGCATGTTGATAATTTCTAAAATTAGCAAAAGACTGTTCTGGGGTCCGCGCGGACCCCAGGTGTACAGATTAATCAGTCCGGGAAGGTGTACTGTTGAGGGTTAAGATAACGTTACTTGTTTGTGTTTGTGTTTGTGTTTATTGGTTCGCATATATTTAATAACAATAAAATGAACATAATACTGACAGTAAAATAAAATGCTGGGGAAAGATATGAAGCCATAGTGGCTTGTCTGGGATCTTTCCCCGACAAAATTAATTAACAACTGAAATAATGCTAACAAATCAAATGATAATAATAAATAACAAAGGTAATTTATAAATTTGATCAATATGATCAAAATGATAATAGTAACAAAACAAATAGTAACATGAATAACAAAAGTGATTGATAAATAACGCTAATTAGAAATGATATGTTAAAAACTATAACTTTAACGTTAACAGAACTTTAACTGCAATACAGACATTGGCAGAATTGAAGCAATAACTCAAGAAAATAAATGAATTTTAACCCTAAACAGTACACCTGGGGTCCGCGCGGACCCCAGCACTATATATTCTGTAATATCTTTTTTGTTTTTAAAGATTTTTTTCTGAAATTTTAGGTAATTGTCACCCACTAAGTTGTCTCTCGATAAAGTGCAGAAAACTCCGTTTCTACCATTTATTGAAAAAATTATATTTGATTTTCTTTTGGGGTCCGCGCGGACCCCAGCCGGCTTTCGATCATAATGGATACACTGGCGTTCTTATACATTACCTTATTTCCGTTTTTACATGTTTTTATGCACTCATCGTATGTCTACCAAGTTTTCAGAGAATGGTGTAGTAATAGAATTAAATTTTAATAACTTTGGTGTAATTATGACATCATATGACGTCAGAGCTAATAATATAGTCCGCCATATTGGATTTTGACCAATGACGTCATCAAATTAGCATATTCTA